AAAATTGTAGGATGTGACTTCAATTATTCAGCTCCTGTTACATCTTATGAATTGCTACGATCTAACTATACATTGCGTCAAGATTTATTACCTACTCCTATTGGAATGAATCTCACATTGGTGAGAAAACTGTTGCAACACGATGACCTAGACCAACTGCTAAAACACATCTGAGAAAATTGACACAGGACTCTCATCACCATTCATCATGATGCTGAGAAGATATACCATGTCTGAAAGAGTGAAGAAAGACAGAGAACACCACTGGTGGGACACTCTATTTGGATGGTCACCAACCACAACAGGAGTTCTAAATAGGATGCTTCACCCTGTAGTTGTTTTACTAATACTTACTGTATCATGTCTTATTTTAACCATTGCTTTATATTTTAAGCTTTGGATTCTGATGAAACATTCACCTCATCTAGTATCCCCATGAGATGTGTGTATACTTGACGATCCTCACCACAAGAACATATGTGATGCACCCAATACATTCCAAATATCATGAAGCTTGAGTGACTATAGTCACAGGGTGGATTATGTGGAGTAATTGCTGGAGGTGACTTAGACATTAAACTTAGATTTACAATTTTAGGAAAGGCACAGCATTGAAGAAGCTTTCCAGGTGGAATGCAGCTGGAATCTATTCCACAGAAATTTCCCTAAGCCTGCAACCTTAGATGTCGGCAACACCAGGGGAGCCTGGTGTACTGGCTCTAAGAGGAGTTGCCCAGGGGGTGGAGTGGTGTGGAGACACCACGGCCAAGCTCTGCGATAATGGAACTTGGAGGAGTACCACGGCACCGATAAGCTGCATAATTGTTACCCTGAGCCAACAAACTGTCATGATTTTGACAAAATGCTGTTCTTTTGGTAAACTTTGCTCATTATAATATCATTATAATACCAAAACACACCTCCATCCCAAAACCTACCCGCCTCTAAGGTGAGAACACTCCTCACTGAGCCTGCGCTTTGAATTTTTCCAAGCCTATACCATTAAAGCGAAGCGAGAAAGTTTTACACCAATCATAACATAGTATGTATGACTAGAGTCCCTCAAGCTCCACCTGAAAGGTAAAAAATAGGATAAATTAGCCTAAGAGAGAGGGGATGTTAGGGAAGATACCATCGCATGCTACTCTGACCTCTGGGATCTGTCGACGGGCTGAGCCTCTCTTCCCCCACATCGGGATGCCTTTGGGTAAGAATCTAACACTTGGTTGTACCAAGTGCCTCCCCGGGAAATTTAGAAACCTCTATAGAGTCGCTTTATGTCTTTTGATGCATCTGTTATCCAATGCTTTGGTATTTGCATGTGCCTTGCAGTCGTCAGTGAATTTATCACCAGTAATCCAAAGAACCTGTGTGTCTGTTGCTTTAATAAATTGCTTTGATTTATCGGTCTAGCCATGATAGTTGTCATTGAACGCAACCAGACGCTTTAAGTGTGGCCGTGGTAGTTCATGCAGAACAACTAGACGAAAGGTGCCTATGTTATTTGTGCATCCATAATCGTGATAGTTCAGTGCACTGAACGCGACTGGACTTACAACGATAAATTGGGTACTTTCCAAAGCCCTCTTGACGCAACAAAGTGCCAGTTCAGCCATACATTTACATGACACACCAACGTTCCCTTCAGAGATTTCCTACACAAATCTAGGACACGGAAGAGAATTCAGACTTTCTCATCAGGCACTGGTCTGCTGATTTTTTGCAATGATGTAGTCAATAGTTTAATCAAAAGGTGCCTGGTAAATTTGTCAAGGCCCATTCTATATAGTTTTGCTTTTATTTAGTGATCTCTTTGAAACAGCATAACCTTTAGCATGGTTAAGTTGTCCCACTTGACTGTGGAATTCATACTGAAGTTTTTTTCCCAAACTTTTTATTAATTTTATTTTACTGTGCAGTAAAGCTAGTTACACAATGTATCTTAAAGTTGGTTTTGTCGTGTTTCTGCTGCATTCCCCGAGCATGTCCTTGGTATATAGGTGCCAAAGAAAGTTGTACAAAATAGATGGAATGAGAGATTGTACTCATCATGCCATATCCACCCACCTCTCACCTTTCCGCTCTCTAATAAGGGTCAGGCGATGCTCTTTCATTTCCACATCCAGTTTTTCTACCATCCTGTCAATGCAGTTATCCAGCACCAGAGAGCGTGTCTTTGATTTGATCTCCTGCCTGCAGATAGGGCACTCCACTTTACGTTTCATCCACTCATTGATACAATAGGAGCAGAAGCTGTGTGCACAGTTCAGAGTGACCGCCTGTGGCATTCAATGGAAGGATACTTATCAGAGCATGCTCACACAAGCAATGTCAAGAAAAAAAATACTGAAGTCAGAAAAATGTTAGATGAACACTTCCTATAAGAGAAGGGGTGGGGGGAGAAGCCCAAAGCCCCTTTTCTTCAGCCTTTGTAGGGGTTACACACAAACACTCTCCCATGCCAGACTGCAGACAAGTTTTACAAGTGGTTAATGGATTACCATAGATCATAGCAAGTCAGAAACACAGACAAAAAGAACTAATTTTATTGTAAGTTTCCCCAGTTTGAAAAGGATAAATTATGGGAAAATGCAGATACTGCAGAATAGCATCTTAAATTACTGAGAAACCAGAAATTAAAGTTTCAGCTAGCTCTTAAGTCATTATAACAAGGCTAACACATCAGGTTTCCTGTAGTAGAAATTAATGTAATGGAACTGAAGTTCTAGCAAAACATGAACAGAAATAACAGTCTACATTTCAGGCACAGCCTATCACTTCTAGAATCAAATGAAAGCAGGCCAATTTCTCAAAGAAAGAGTTTATCTGAACAATAAAACCGGTTCAGGACTTGACTGAACATTGGACCTCCCTTCCTTTACTAACCCCTTCCTATATCTAAACCTGAAGCAGTCCAACCCTAGTCAACTTAAAGCAAGGTCCACTACAAAAGGATTCGTCCCCAAGCAAGCTGTCAGCAGCAGCTCAGAGCACCAGTTCAAAAACATCCAAAACTGCTGCAAGCCTATATGCACCTTAGGATTAAGCACTCGTCTCTATGCAGGTAGAGACATTAAAGCTGAACTTGCTGCCCAGGAGAAGAGTTAGGGCAGACAGAATGGATTTCTGGACCAACCCTTACCTACAACTCACTGTGGGTCTGTTGGGACTGTTAAACTAGTGAAGTAAAGAAATAAGCTTGACTATTGCTTTTATTAGAACTAGGGAAAGCTTCTCAAGTCTCCTCTTTACTGGCAAACCCATAGCAGTTTAAACATACCTCGATAAAGTGCTCAGAACAGATTGTGCACTGCAACTCATTCTCCAACACGTCATTCATCTGATTCAACACCTCTTCTTTTTGGGCTCTCACCTTTTCCTTCTCCTCCTAGTGGAAAAGTACATATGGTCATGTATCAACAAAGAACAAGGTTTTACTCAATATAATATTGACAGGAAGTGTGTGTGCAGGGGAAGGTAGTACAAGTAGAAAATCATACAACTGCAAGTCTCCACATATCAAGTCTGTGCCTATTATATACAAAGATCTGTAACCTCTCTCCTCTCTGTAGTCATGGCAGTATTGACAGTATTCTCAGCTGCTGTAGAGAACTTAGAAGCAAGAACAGCAGCCGTTACCAATATTCCCTTCAGTCTAAAGAAACTACCAGCTGGATCAATCTTTTCAGAATCTCTTTCAGCCTCTTTGTGGCATGAGTTTGGCTTAAGAACAGAACAGTTCTTTTGATGTCTGATGTAAAGAGCAAAACACCCAACAGACAAAATACCTCAACTATTAAAAAAAGGAAGCATAAGAATTTAAAACATTTACTTGCATTTAACTGCCCAATAATTTTTTTTTTTGTTTGGAGTTGAATTAGGCTCCTAGGGACCTGCTCTACCTTCTAAAAATAACAGAGAAATTCTTCCAATTAAAGCTTATACTTGGAACAGCAACAGAGTTGCAAAGACAGCATTAAAAAACCCATAAAGCAAACAGCCAGAGGCGGATAATGTGATAATTTCCAAGAGTAAGACACAGGAAAGGACCTCCTTAATTATTTCCTACTCATCACCTTGTATCAAGGGCAGCAAGAAATGTGGCTTATCTCACTCATTATTGGAACTCCCTGTTGATTCAGTCCTACACTCCCTTGTAGGACTGCTGGAACACTGCAGGAACACAAGTGAACGCACTCTTAACTGAAAATGAAGCTCCTCACTTTTCAAACACGCTCTTTTTTTTTTTCTTCTTTTTATTTTTTTTAAAAAGAAAGGGTGGAATGGGCCCACTTCTCCTGCACAACACACAGTTCAGGTGCTCTGGGCTTTCTTTATGATTGAGAAAGATCTAGTAATGACTGTTCAACACTAATTTATGAACAGGGCAAGGTGTATCCTCCCCCAATCCTGGAAACTGTAGTCAGCTGCCACTTCAAAATACAGGAGTTTTTCACTATGGGAGGCAAAGTACAGTCAAGACAAATGTTAAATAAACCATTTCCTCTCCTGCAGCACATCATGTTTCACTTATGAATGAAACCGAGAACTCAGTTATTCCTTACCTTAGTTTCTTCCAGTTCTTTATTCTTGGCTCGAATTATCTCCTCAAAATCTTTTTTACTACGGCTCAGTTCTTCCATCAAAGCATGATGCTGTAACAATACCATCCCAGACATTATAAGAGTACCATTATAAGCTATCCTATTAAATATACATGGCCATAATAATGAGGTTCAGCATACTCAATTCTCCTAATGTCCTCAAAAGAGGAACACATCTATATGAGTTGGGGTGTTAAGGCAGTTTAGCCTTAACTTAAAATCGGAATGTAGTGCCAGTGATTTATGACCTCCCCAGTGTCATGGCACTTCTCATTCCCTCTCCTGGGTTACTCTTTCATTTCAGTTAGGTTTTACGGTCACCATTCTGAGCGCATCTGAGACATCTGAGTATCAAGGGGTATTTGACACATAAGGATCACAAAAACCTGTCACTGTATGCAGGCTTGCCTGAAGCTGTTTTCAGATTAGCTTTCTAAAAGGAAAGGCCTTTTGGAAAAACCCTAGGAAACCTAAGCATGTGGCAATGTCTTTCAAAAACATTCCTAAGAGTGAAATTGTTTTCATCTCGTTAAAATTGCCAAAACTCCCCAAAACAGATACCCAGACAGACCAACCTCACAGAAAAGCCCACCAGCCCAAGGACTAAATTAAAATTTAAAAAAAAAAAAAAAAAAAATCACTGCAGCTACTTAATGCTTTCAATCAAGTGCATAGTCTCACAATATTTGCTGGCAAATAGGAACTCCCACAAAGTGAGGTCTGCCACTTTCTGACAGAAGTTTGATCTGTAGATGAAGATCATCCAGTCTGCACCTAAGGTAAAGTCCTCGTCTTCTACCAAGAGGCCACAGCAGTAGGAAAGATTTAAATATCCAAGTTACTCAGACCAAACCTAGACCTCATAACTACTTGCCTCTTGCAGGACCTGGGCCAGCTGCTCCTTCAGATTCTCTTCCCCATGTTGCCACTTTACTCCCTGGGGTAGGGGTGGGGTAGAAGAAAAAAAAGAAATAAGAAGAAAACAAAAAGACTTGAAGAAAGCAAGGGACAGAAAATTACTACTTTGCACACTCTCTTTAGAGCATATGCTTAAAGAAACAATGCTGGTTTTCAGCAAACCTTTAGATGTCCCACTCTAGTGTTACACATATATGACAGAAATTAGAGCTATCGTTTACTGTGAAGAGTTAAATGGATATATCATTTACAGTTATGTACTTGGAACACCTCCACGTTATCCAGCTCTAAAGGCACCAGCACGTTCATAGAAGCAAAGAGGTCAGCAACAGCTTAAACATAAGGAAAAAGCTACAACTTTATCTTTGAGCACATTCAAAGAAGTCAGACATACCTACAGCTCCAGCTGCACTTCCCATTGTGCCTAAGCACACAAGTCCAGACTTTCTGTACTTCTGATACAGGTATCTTGCCTTTAGCAGCAGACTTTAAAGGAAGTAACTGATAAATTATGAAACTCACTCCAAGATGAATTCTAACTTCCTTTAAACCAGACTTTGAGCAAACTCAAATAGAAAGACTTCAGTTTGTTATCTAGAAAAGCTACTTATACACATACCGGTTGAAGACACAGATTGCAAGAAAGCTTTTTTTCAAGGGGGTGGCGGGCAGGAATTTCCCTCCCTCCAGGGATTAAGGCATAGAATAATTCACTTGTTTGGAAAGGGAATGGATTCGCCATGCAAACTGGGCATTAATTCAGCCATATACCAAGAGAAATTCACACTTAAGGTGAATACTTTTCAACTTATCCTCTCTGTAACCACAGGAGATCAGGCAGAGACTCTTGATTTTTATTTAAAAACACACTTTTTTACTAACTGAAATGCTTTACTATCTTGCTGTAATGAACCTTTTTGTAAATAATTTTTTTAAATTATTTCGCACCTTTTCCTAATTCCCCATGCAGCCCAATCCCTTCTGTCTCTGTACTTTCTTTTGGTACACATGCCCGGAAGTGAAATACTTCCATGACAATTTTAACAGGCGTAATTCACACAAACATTATTTGTGTTACTGCATGGTTCAAGATCTTATTTTGGATCAATGTCTTCTATTAGGCATTCCATAAAAATGAAAAGGCAGAGGCCTAAAAGATTACCACCATTATACCTCTAGCTTCCGCTGCTCTTTAGAGAACGTCCTCTCCAGCTCTTCCACCTGCTGCTGATGATGCTCTTGTTCCGTGCACAGCTGGTCCTGCAATTCCCGCAGCTCCTGCTCCAATGCCAGGATCTCCTTCTGAGCACACTTCCTGCGCTTCTGCTTCACATTCAGAACTGCTGCCTGCTTCTCCTGCACTTTGACCTTTAACTTCATTATATCTACTAGAGTTTTCCTCAGCATTTCCAAGCCAGTCCATGACTGTGCAAGACCAGAGCCTTTCTGGTCCTTATGGGGGACAGACACAGCTTTCTCAGAGTGCACCGGGCTACTACGCAGTGGACCACTATCCTCCTCACTTGGTCCAGGAGCAGGCAGCTTGACATCCATCTTCTCTGTTAACTGTTTGGCCTCTTCTACCCTTCCCCATGATTTACCCAAAGGTTCATTATCACAGGACACTCTGTCTCTTTTGGGTCTGGAGTGTGAAGGGCCTTCTGATCCAGATGTCTCTGATTCCTCCAAACTAAATTTACGTTTAGTTCTTGAACTCTTAGCTTTTCCCAGGTCATTCCTCTGGGCTAAAAAGGGTCTGATTTTCTCCCATTCCTCTTTAATTACTTCATACTCATATTCAGCAGTCTCTTTGTTTTCCAAAGGCACTCCCAACTGGATACGGTCTCCTTCAGCGATTGGATAGGCTTTTGAGGGATCCAGGCGCTGTTTGTTAAGCCAGACTCCGTTTAGACTCTGCAAATGAACAGAGAAGGAGCAACATTTCATATGCAGTTACAGAGTCCTCTGCAAGATATTTCTGCCAACTGTAAACATACCCAACCTCTTCAGTGTTGCAATCTGAACAACCCACCTCTTTAAATAAACCTTGCAATATCCAATTTATTGGCTTAGTGTCCCGTTTATTACAGTTATTGCATTATATTATTTACCATGCATTATTCCTGCATTACAGATTTTGTGTACAAGTACTAAGAACAACATTAATATATGCGCTTGTATAGAAGGAAAAGAATTAACTCTAAAGCGGAAAAAAAACTGCCCAAAAGCTTCAGAAATAAGAACTAACCCATAAAAAGACTCCACAATAGATCATTACCAATAACATAGAATATTGCAGTAATTATTCTTGACAATTAATGTCACCTGAAATTCAAGAAGAAACTAGAAAGGAAAAAGGAGCATAGCTTATACTGCTTAAAGGAAAAAAAGAGACAGTTCTCCGTAAATACAGGGAGAATATAAACAAGAAGGAAAATGTTCTCCTAGAGATAATGTTCAAAGCAGAAAAAGGGTTTTTAAATTAGACACTAGGTCAAGAAATAGTTTTGAGAAACAGCAAAACTGATCTGCACTCAAGATGAATGGCAGAATCATTAACAACTGACATACCTCAAAGAGATTCAATAAAACAACTTGACACAATGGTAGCAGTGATAACACAGAGGAAGCATTAGTAGCTAGTCTACCATAGATGTTTCCAATCATGCAAAATCTGTAAGTTTTCAAGTTTATACAAGTACTGCAACAGAGTTTTAAGAGCAGTGTAATTTCAGTAGTAGCCACTCCATTCCTTCTGACTAATCTGCTGTTGACTCAAGCATCCTTCAAATCTGCATGACATATTGTACATTTTTGTTCTCCCTGTGCTGTTTTAAAGCAAGTTACTGATTTTAGTTTTCAGCCTGAATGAGAAAGTGGAGAGACCATGGTATAAAAACCAGGTTAAGTCAAAGTGAGATGTAGCTGAAGACTCTGATGTCAAAACTTTATTCTCATCAGCTGAGGAGGGCCTTTAGAAGAAACTCATTTGAACATAACATGAAGCATGGTTTTTGTAACAACAGATTCTTTTTGTAGTTGATTACAATTAAAGCAATGGTGTCACTACAATAAGGAGTTATCAGTTTATCCTTTCATTAGCAGTACAAGAACATTATCCTTTTGAATACTGCCAAAATTCATAGGGGTTTTTTTTTTTGGGGGGGGGGGGGGGGTGTTTATTTTGGTTTTTTGTGGGTTTTTTTTTTTCCAAGAGAGTAACACAAAATAGGTGAACAGACTACAAAGTGCCCTTGGTGAGACTACACTTGCCTGAAAAATGCTAACCCAAGAGACAAATCTACATAAAGCAATACGGTTTGCATCCCAATTGCAGCAGACTGAAGCTTCCTGCTGGAAGCGCACAACAGACAAGACACATTCCCATGGGCCTTCTATCACACTTATACCATATTATATCATAGCACATACACTGTCTGAGCCCAAACTGGGCATTCTCTTCAGTGAATCTCAAGAGTACAAGGTCTTTAATCAGTCTCTGTACCTTGTTATCCTTGACAGTCCACTGCCCTTCGGCATTTTGCTGAAAAACACAGTGCTTACGAGAGATCATCAAGGGACAGGATTTTGACACCAGCTGGTACGTGAGATCTAATCCTCGGCCTATAGTTACCTAAAAATAAAGTAGTTTAGTAACTGCAATCAGCAATGACATGGTAAATTCAGTTTACATGGTTTCGACTCAAGTACAGAACAAATCTAAGTAGATTAGCATCTTATAGCTATTTCCAAAGAGTTCAGGATAATATGATTTATTTTTTGCATTTAAATTCAAGAGTAGATAGAAAATGGAAACCTGCGAAGTTTGAAGTATTGTCTTTCTCTCCCACTGAGGAAAATTTAATTGCTCTAAGACAGGTTACAGCCTTGGTTTCATGGAAATCTTCGTCAGCAGCAAAGCTGCTCAAAGCCACTCTCAATCAATCCGTGTCCCACCTTATTCATTACCTAACTAAGCACCATTTCTTCAAACCAGTACAATTGTTCATGGGTCTCAAGATTACTTCTTACCTTCTTCTTTTGCTAGTTGGATTTGTTCAACTGTCTGTAAACAGGAAAGACTCAGGAAAAAATAGCCCAGAAAACTGCCATTAAGAAAAAAAAAAAGCACATGTAACCGTGCCCTAAATGCACAGTATTTTTGTAAAGGACACCATCAGTCTCAAGGCTCAGAAACTAAGCTACATGCAGTTCATAACCAGTAGTGGAAGTGATCTAAATAATCTTATTAGACTCTAATAGCATCTTTGGAAGAAGGGACATAATTTAATCGTACCGTTTCACAGTACCTTATTAAATCTGATCTAACTGCAGGCTGCCATTTAAAGCATGGCTCTGCTCTCCCTCCCTCCACTGCCTCCTTTGCAAAAGCTGATAATCACATCCACTTTTCTTACTCATCTGTGCGTTGCACAAGTTTTCAGTCAGCTTATCATGCCATTAGACAACTGCCTGGATCCAATGTAGCCTTAGATGAAGGCTGCCCCTCTTTTCCCCTGCAATCCCAACTCATTTGCATCACACCTTCCAACTCCTACAAGATGGCAAGATGCTGCAGTCCTGAAAAGTTCATTCACTACGCATTACCTGAGCGGGTCTCACTTTGAGTTGAAAGCAAGAACTCAGACTCCCGTGTCATAACTAAGTGCAAGGAAGCAACCTAAGATCACGAAAGCAAACTTAACCACATTTGATCTCTACCTCTTGAACGTATTAGCATTCTGTCAACATGGATTGCATACATGGGAAGTACAGAGACTCAGGCAGATTCAGTTATAAACTCAGCTTTACACCTGTCCCTGCAGTTGCAGCAGAGATGCCTAACCCATGTGGACAATTCTGAGTGCCCGGTCACATGCATCTGCATGGCCTTACGCACCAACACAAGCAAGACCGAGTAGGGCCAGTCGCGAAACTTCCCCTTGATCAAGTTGATTGAGCAAACTGCGGTGGGGAGCTGAGATGTTACCACTCACCTGCTGAGTTCGCTGCTGCCCACCGCGGCGCTGGCAGACCACAGCACATCCCCACACCTCAGCAGTGCAGTTTGGCACTGACATTTAAATCCCTAGTGACAGCAGTTCGTGCTAATACGCTAGCCTGTGACCTGACAAGCCTGCAGTACCGGCACGCCGTCAGGTTGCCTATGGCAAGGAACATAGTGCTGTGCAGACAACCACAGTAATAACACCTTGAACGAGATTCTCCACACAATTAGCAGAGCCCTGGCTGCATGTTTTGCAGATGTATTAACTCCAGTTCTTCACTGAGCATACTTGCACACCTCATGGCTTCAAATCCATAACGGGAGAGCAACAAAACTATGCATTTGCTTGAAGAGTTGCCTAGCGTTGAAAAGTGAGTCAAGAGGGGTACTTCTTGCAGTGCATAAGGACAAAAGAATAAGGTACAGTGCGAACCCACAACACCTAGCTGCCTGATTTCGACCACTAGAACGGCAGTCCTCTTACAGCACCCCATCCTGGGCAAATGGGCTCGCCTGCTGGGCTTAAGAGAAAGAGCGTGAGGACCCATTTGGGCTTTGCAATTGAAAAAACATGACCACTGGAAAAGAGTTATTCCTGTACCATACTGAAACATAACTGAAGCTGATTTAAAACGTGACCTTGTCTACACCCGAATAATGTAAGCCACAAAACTCAAATACATTGTGTAGTTAACCTCGCCAAAGCATCGCCTTGTTAATTAGGCTACGGATGGCCCCGCTCCGCACACACACACCTACGCTGCTGTCACACAAACAGCTCCTGTTTCAACACGAGACCCTGTTAAAAAGCATTAACAACCCGAGGCGGGGCACATCAGGCCGGAACGCCCGCGCCGCGCC